TTTACCTTTTTTCACTAAATCTAATTTATTGTTCCTTGTAGGGCACATGATGATGACGACTATGGATGTAACAGCTCGGACGCTTGGGAGAGACTGGAGAAAGAAGAGGCGGCAAGAATGCGCGATGTTGTTCATAGCGAATTTGCGAAGCGTCGTAAGGTCAGCCTACTTCTTGAAGTGTTTCAATTTCCTTCGATACTTACGAAGTATACTGCAGATTGAGAGACAAAGAGAAGCAGATCTCAAAGAGGTTTACATTCCCAGCACCGAGTATCCAATCAAGGAACCCAAAGCTAAAACTATCCCGAATCTAGCGCCACAGGTACTGCTTGATGTTTTGGTACCGAGTTCTTCTTAAGCGAGCGCCGAAGGTCCAACTACTTGGTCCGAAGGTTGTTCTAATTTTGAATGGTGCTGTTCCAGCGAAGAGAAGAAATGGTTCGTCTAATAAGTCAAGCACTGGACGCTAATTGGTTATTGTTCGAACGCCCCTGTGAGACAACGGAAGCGGCCTCTTCGTTGGAATGGTCAATCTACAGGAATGCAAAGACATTGACAACTTACCAACATAAAACCGTTGCTAAGGTATATTTTAGTTTCGCTTTTTGAAAACTGTATATATTTTAATGACGTCACGAATACGTTGTTGAGAGAATCGCCAATCTTGAAAGTCGAAGCGAACCTGCAGGAATGTCTTTGTTGAAAAAAAAATCGTTATTCAGGTCACTGAGATCAAGAAATTAACAAAGGAGTGTGAGCAGTATATGTTTGAACAAGAACTCGCGGCAACGTCGTCAACGTCGTTTGTGTCGGCTGTCACTATGGTTAATTCGTAGGGATACCAACGAATGCACTACTATATTTTGTAGGGACTGCTGTATTAATTGGTTCGCCTGCTTCACGTGTATACTAATCTAGAGGCCAGTACATGCCCCCTAGCTCAATATGGTTGGGGTATGAATAATCGGACTTAAGAATAGAGTGTGCGGTTGTAAAGAGTTGCTGCATTGCAACGCACGGCTTATGATGGTTCCAAGCTGCTCAGTTTCCAAGTACTACTCATCCTGTAACTGGGTAAAAACTGCACCTTGCACGACTTGATATTAAGTTGTAAGAGCTGTAATGCTATCACAAAGGCCTCGTTTTCTTTTTAGTGATACATTTTTCGTCTAGCTGGTCCTGAGTATATTGACAATTTTATGATTCCAATATGTGTAGCCACGATTTGTATGATCCTTGTTTTGTTTGTCGTGGCTGTTTCGTTCTGTTTAACCCTTTGACGACTTTCGCTCGGTAGTGACACGTTTTTAGGGGTTTATTTTGGCTTTTTTTATTTCAAAACTACACAAATACATTATCGAATTCGCGGAATAATGCGCTAATTACTAATAGTGAAATTGTTGGAGAGTTAATGATTATTGATGAAAAAATTTAGAAAGAAGTGAAGTGACGCATTCATAACGGCGGTCGTCAAAGGGTTAAACGGAGGTCTTTTGCTGTGCAGATGTGTCATTTTGTGAGTTTTTGTGCCTATTAGAGTTTGAGAAAGTTTATTATCCCCTGCTTGAAGCAATGCATATCAAGACGTTTTTTTTTCCTTCTGGATCATGAAAAATGAAGTCATAGAAATAATCGTTGAGAGGAAGATGGTTTTTGCCCGAGTTTAACATATGCTAAGCAAAGCAAAGCTGTTAGGGCTTCTTTCTGTATTTTGTTTTGAAATAAGCGTACTGCCAAGCTTTTGTTAGTATAGCACAGGTATAATATAATAGATCCATCATGTTTCAGAACTGTCACACCGAGCTGCAGCTTTATTCCTCCAAAAACGAAAATGCCTCATTCATGGCGCGCTATGAGTAAATATGCACTCAAAAAAGTCCTGCTGGAGATACGCACCAAACAATTCAGAGGCATAGCTATTTTCGGTACTAGGCTGGGAGATAAGCATAAGCACATTGACTCATCTTCTGGAAAAATCTGTTAGGTCAAGTGACATCATAAGCAAATATGTTATTAGGTCAAGTGACATCATAACCGTAGTCGTAGGACGGGCTGGACACAAGCGATCATAGTTTGTGATTTTTTTCTATGGCTGAGCATCGAGTAACGTTAGCAGTCTGCATTTGACCATATTTATTCAATCATTTAAGAATATACAAAATCAAAATCCACATAAATAAAACAGAAGAAACACCATTTGAATAATTACAGCGACTATTCAAAAATTGTCAGGAACATCACAGGCTGCGGCTAAGCTACCTACGAGCATGACATATTTGAAGGCAACTTTTTCGCATGGGTAGCCTAGGGCCAATCAGCCCTTAGGCCCTTATCCATTTTTTCGTCTTTTGGTAATACACACTCTACATTGTGGTTCTCCATATTCATTGAGTGGGGTTCCGAGAGGCAAAGGGTTAGTGGTGAAGGGAGAACGACCATGCTAATACTCACACCACACCGTGAGATGGCCAAAATTTACGAATCATGAAAGCTTTGAGACGAATCTACATTGATAAAACCCTGATCGCCATGTTTTCAAGTGAATATTTGATGGGGCAAAGGTCAGAGTTGGCAAAGCTAATCGTCACACTAGGAAGGAGAGAGGAAGCTGTCACTTATGGGAGTGGGATTCGTTGCAATAGCAGCGGACCAAAAAAGGGGACGGTGATTTTGAATGATGGAAGAAGTTTCCTGTGGGTTGCTCTCAACTAGCAAAAGATAATCGACGGACGCGCCCATCGCTGATTGACCTCCTCTCGCAATATTGTGTAGTTTGTGGGTAACCATTGCAAATTTTGGACAGTACTTTTGGAGCTCAGTGCCAACTCTGACCAGGAAGGTCTTTCAGGGCGTGCCAAGCTTTTTCAAAACGGTCTTTTGCATGATATAGGGGCACATGCGGGAACCACAGAACCATGGTTAATTTTTCCTGAACGGCCCTCTGAATACCAGAAAAGGGGGTCCCTAGTTCGATTCCTCGTGGTGACAAATTTTTGCATTTCGAGTTGACGTTCAAAATTCGCGCAAAATGGAGTTAGCATGAATAATTAGTACCATATTCATGATTAGGACCGTCAGTAACCCTTACAAATAGACTTTGATTAAAACTGGTGAAAAACTTGTGGCACCGAAGTAGGGCCGTTCAGGAGAAATTGTCCATGGTTCTGTGGTTCCCACATGTGCCCCTATATCACGCAAAGATCGTTTTGAAAAAGCTTGGCACGCCCTGAAAGACCTTCCTGGTGAGCTCTGGAGGGAAGTTCGCTGTATTGGACTGTGCGACATCCCGTCCTGTCCCTTCGCCACATACTCCATCTGTTCGCGTGTAGCTTACGAAACTATCCGACTTGTGAAAAGGAATATACTATCGAAGTGGAAACGTATGAATGGTCTGCTGCCCAAGAAAAATATCTGTTTCAGTGATTTGATGGGAAGAAATCCACAAAAATATGAATGAAATTTCTACCCGAAGCAGCCGTTCCGAAGATTTCTCTTACACTTTTTTAAATCCCGATTAGCAAAAGTTCCATGGTACATATAAGCCTAGCGTATTCTGTTAAAACCCCTCAAAGACAAAGGTCCGCCTGTCTCAAACTCTACGGTAGTGATGAACTGCTTCGCATGAAAACCCGTTACAATGTCGAGTATACAAGAACCATTACAATAGCAAAGTCCCAGATGGGACTCGAAAGCGCTTCGTTGAGGAGAACCGCACCCACCGTAGTCGTCTCTATCGGTGGATAACAGAGCCGTTCGTAGGGAAAGGGCAGCGATTATCCACTCTAGAATGATGTACATGCTTCGAAAACTTAGTGGAGGAACAGCATCTTGTTAGAAAGTTCAAAACAGGCAGATTCGCAGCCTTCTTGGCATCATCAGATCCTGCAACCGCGAGCGTGTCATTCATCAGAACGGGACTAGAAGCCCGCACCTCTCGCTTTCCGGGCAAGTGCGCTACCAGTTACGCTACCGGGGCACCATTTCATTCCCAACTCAGCTTTTCATGGTATACGTACCATAGCTTTCAGCACTCACACGTATAACGTGTTGAGCCGGTTAGCCGATATCGGCAATGACCGCGAGGCTGAAAAGCATTCGCAATGGCGAACTGCGGCAAAGCAGCAAGTTGACAATAAACATCGATTCTAGGGTGTCCTACTTTAGGTACGCACTGTAGTAGGGACAACTCCTTTGGAAAACTTCCTTCCTCTTTGAAGTCCTCGCCTCTCCCCGCTGTTCTTACTTCTCTTTTTCCCATAAATTCAAATGATAGAAAAAAGATAGAAAAGGGAATCACTTCGGTAGAAAACAAAAAATGATATCGAAAAAAAGGCAGTAAAAGGTAAATATTTCGGAATAAAATGGAGATCCGGATCTTATTTTAATCATTTTCCTATTTCCATCTCAAAAATCCTCTTTTTTTCTCTGCTCTCAAGTTTTCCGACATACATACTTTCTATGTATACTTCCTTATCTCTCTTCTATACTGACTTGCTTACACACTTCTTACTTGTCCACGTTTAGGTACTGTAAGTGCCCTTCCCGTACTGTGGAGCTGTTTTAGAACACCCACTGATTCCAGGTTTCCCGGAATGAGTATCAATTTCCCGGTCTGGGTTGTATATAACCAGAAGGTGATCGAGAATGATGGTGAATTCCCACTGTACGACATAAGTGCTCCCGAATAATCGAATACGCGAGTAGGTTGAGAATACCGCGGACTGATTATCGA